GTCAACGGATTTATATGTTATGACATTCATTTAATCAATTCAATTAATTTTAAATCTAATTATTTAAAATTAAATTAATTAATTTATATTATTTTATTTTCGTTAATTGAACCAAATTTATAAATTTTAAAAATTAATTTATTGAATTTAATTCGATCGATTCGGTTAATTTTTTTGATTAATCATATAATAAATGCATTTAAGTATGTGTATAATTTATGTATGAAATTTATTTGTATGTAGTATTTTTGGATATAGGAAGACTAAATGGAAAAAAAAAAAAACTAGAAAAAAAGTATGTGTATAATTTATGTATGAAATTTATATGTATGTAGTATTTTTTTTCCTTTCCCAATATTATTTTTTTCTGCAAGGATTTCACTTTTTTTTTTTTATATAAATCTGTACTTTGCCCTCCTTTCTTTTTAGCCAATGGTCCTCCTAATAATTTTGAAATAATAATTTAATCCACTAAGTTTACTTTTAATTTTTTTATTAATCCTTATTTGACCTCTTAATTTTTAAAAACTTTTATTTTGCAATTAAAATTTTCATACTTTTCATTTAATCTTTCAATGTTTTATTTGAATCAAAACAAATGTTTTGAGTAATTTTTTTTTTATGTATTTATATATATTTTAATAACATTGCTCTTTATATAATTAGTCCCATTTTTCTATCGACGTTTAGAACATTTGTTTTTAACTGACATGTTTGATTTATCTTCGATATAAATATAGTTCTATCAATTACAATTTTCAAAATAAGAAAATGAAATCTAATTTTCTTTGTGATGAGAAAAAACATGTATTCAATGCTAAAACGAACGTCTCAATATTTCATCATAAAATTATATTTTTATATAATTTTTTTTGTGCATATAAAATAAAATAGTACAAGAACTTTTATGCATATAAACTTTAGGCTAATTTATTTATTTTAAATTATATGAATAATTAAATGACAAAAATGATTATTAATTTATTTTTAACTTAGTTTTTGTAAAAAAAAAAAAAAAAACCTTAATTTAATGTATATTTACCTCATTTTATATTTAATCTTGAATCCATCCCTGATTTTCCCTTACAGTTATTATAATAAATAAATAAAGAATTTTCATTTGCGCAAGCAAAATAGTTGATATTTGGTCATATTGTCATTAAAATTTTTGTTGTACGTTTTTGTTTAATCATGATGTATAGTACAATATAGAGTTCAATTAAGAGTGTAAATAATACATTAGTATTCATAAGCTATTTGAGTTTTATTCGAATAAAATTCGAATTCAACTCGATTATTATTGAGTCAAACTTAAGTTCGAGTAGCTCGACTTACTGATCGAACTAGGTTTAAACATTATGATATTTAGTTCGAATAGTTCGCGAGCCTAATCGAATTTTAATAGTTAAATATATTTTTATTATTTTAATTAATAAAATATCTTAAACTCGAGTTCGAGTTCGAGCACAAATAATCAAACTTTTATCGAATATAAAAATCGAATTTATTTTTACATATTAATCGATCTTGATCAAACGATCTTAAATAGCTTAATTTTTATTTCGAATCGAGTTCGAACCAAAAAAATAAAATTTGATCGAGTTTGCATTGAATTTCGAGTCTCAAATTTCAAATCGAGTTTGAGCTCGAACTCGATCAATTATATCTCTAAATTTGACATATTAATTGCATTAGGAAGTTAATAGGGAAAGGAAATTTATAACGTTTACTGTTAAAAAAGGGGGAAGAAAGGGGGAGGGGGAAGAGAATAGTGTAGGATCGAGTAGCTATGAGTTGAAATTGAAAGGATACAAAACCAAAATAATGATCAATATTTTTGGGGTACATGTAATTATGTTTTGGTCATGAAAACGAGCAGCAAACATTTAATTCCCATAACAACTTTTACCGTTCTAAGTTCCCACGTCTTGCAGAAGGACATTGATGAACCTGCAAAAGCATGCAGGAAGAAATTAGGTTGCCCGGTATCATGGCGACCACGCAACCCCGATTTTTTTTTCTTTGTTTTTTTGGGTACATTACGATATATAAAAGTTTCTATATGGTAATAGAAGAAATGTCTTGCTCATGTTTCATTCTATTGATGTCATAAAATTTTACATTGTTATTTTTACTCTTAATAATTAGAAGTATTCAAATTTTAATTTTAATTGAATTAATTAATCGAATCGATTTAATTTAATTAATAAATTAATTATAATTTTATTTTGATTAATTATTAAAAATAATTTTAAAAAGTTTTGTTTTTTATTCATTCAATAAAGAGTTGTTTTTTGTATTTTTTTTATGTACGTGTGTGCACACTTAAAACTATAAGGAACTAGTTCTTAATTTATTGGAGCTAGGAATGTTATCTATCATAAAATTGTTGGCAATTAAAGACTTAGTTGTTGCTTGCATACAGTAGTGGATTTTAACACTTAGTTTTAAGAGGGTCAATTTATATTATAGGGAACCAATTAATATTATATTTTATCTTGTTTTGTCATAAAACTTATTATATCACATATATACATTCAAATAATATATTAATATATTCAAACAATTTTAATTTTGGAGAGGCTAATTTAAATTTATTTAATATATATATATATATATATATTAAGAGTTGTTAAAAGTTTGGGAGGGACCTTATGAGTTGTGAAAACTTTGGGGGGGACCAAATTCTCTTCATGCTTGAAGAAAAAGAAAAAGTGCATGGTACAAACAATATGTGATTGATATTCAAATTTTGATGGGAAATCTATTGAAACATTAATGAAACCTAACCTTCCAAAATCTCACACTCATCATAAACGAAATGATCTAAGTCCATTTTTCTTAGGATCTGGTTCCTTGACTTTGGTGCCTCTGTTTTATTTATGAAATTCTTTCCTTCTAATAATATATAATTTGCTAACATGGCTCACCAAGCAAAAATTTTGTAATTAATTTGGTGTGAAAGAAAGGTTTTGAGATGATATTCAAAACTTTTTTGATCTTTAATTATTTTTCATGTGACAAAATTCTTTATAGGTGAGATTATCGAGATTAAATTTGATTATTAAAATTAAAATTTTAATATTTTATTAATAAATTAAATTATTATTAATTATGGGATAAAATTTCATTTAAATGTAAAAATGAAATTTATCACTTTATTACAGATCAACTTATTCATAAATATAATTTTAAAAATTAAAACAAGACCAAATAATGGTAAAAACAAAAGTGAAGATAAAAAAAATATTATCCTATGCAACTATCTTGACTTTAACTTGTACTTTCTAATGCAAATAATGTATGCTTTATGATTTTTATTGGAACTGCTTCCTCGTTATTATCCAAATAATTAAACAACACCATCGTATACTCATTAAAGAATTAAGCAATCCGGACCATTGGATTTTTGTTAAAAAAAAAAAACAAAAGCACCTTAGTAAGTTAACTTTTGATAATTGGATCGAAGACAAGTGCTTATTTTTTGGTCGCATGTTATTTTTTATTAATCTAATTGTATCATGAAGAAGCTATGAATTAAAGAAAGATTTCTAATGCAAAAATTATAAGCTAGCAAATCAAATCAAATGAAGATAAAATTCGTAATTACCTGTGGTGGAAAGTAAAGTAGAGGATATTATTTCTTTTTTTAAAAAATAACAATAATAATTATAGTAAATTATATATGTAAAAAATTGATAATATAAAGAATAAATTTTAAAATTCTAAAATTTGACAAAATGCATATAAATTTAATTTATGTGTATCAAATTTAATGTTTACATTAATTGAGGTACTTACGAGAGATTCGTGTAATTGCATTTGAGTAGTCCTCGTCATTGATAAGAGATTTGAAAATGAAAATGAAAGATTCAAATTAATTTTGTGAAAAAAAATGCATCCATCGAATTAAATATTCAATTATATCATAATTAATATGATTAATAATTCTTATACGATTTCGTATAGATTTTTATAAACTTAATCATTCAAATTATCCGTACGGGGTTCTTTTCACTCTCACTATCCTTGTCTCAAGAGTATCTTTCCCAAAATATTAACCTCAAATTTAGATTTGAGCAAACATGTCTACCATTTACTAATAGGTGGAAAACTTAACGTATTCACCTTTTTTTTTTTTAATTGAAGTTCTTTCAATGTAAAATGAAGAAAAGAAAAGAAAAGAAAATATTGATCAATGAGGGAACCATAACTGTCATCATTTCTCGCAAGGTAAATGTGGTGGACAAACAAGAAGATGTCTCAATAAGGTGGTCTCTATATATGCACATTATTTGTCAATAGGTTGCATAAAATTCCATCATGAGTTTCACACTTGAACATGACTAAAAATACCTGGAGAATTGATGGAAATTTTTAGTTGGAAAAAACTTTTTTTTTCTTTTTTTTACTTATAAGAAATTAAACCTTGGTCATTAAAAATAGAAATTTAAAACTCCATTGATAAATTACATAACTCTCGACAAAAAAAATTAAAAGAAAATTAATTTTACCGATAAAAGAGTCAAAAACTTTTTCTTTCTTGTTGAATCAAACAATAAAGAGTTACTTAAATCAAATCTCTTTTGTTTCTAACAAAAAAGAGAAAAGCAAATCAAGATTTTTTTTTTACAGAAGTTAGATGCATGATGTCTTCCTCAAATAATAGGGTTCGAGATATTAGGAGTAGATTAAAATAAGAAAATTAAAAAGAGATCTAGTTGAAAAAAAAAATTGTCTCGTAAAAAGAGATTAAAAAAAAAAAAGTCTAGAAGAGGTTTTTTTTTTTTTTTTTTTTTTTTTCAAGCTGATGAAAACTTTGTTTGGTTCCTTCTTTTTCTTGTTACTAGTATAATTTAGAATTCATGAAACGGATTATGAGCAATCCTGCATTGTCAAACCTCATCACTGTCTTCACCAACCGCGACTCTCCTTACTTTTTCCCTTCTATAAAATCCTCTCTTCCAACGCAACCAAACAGGTGCTCCAGCATCCTCTTGCAACGGAAAAGAAACCCAGAAAATGCTTCATCTCTGGACTTTTCTCTTCCTTTCCTTTCTTTACTCCTCATCCTTCACCGTAAGCAATTCTTTTTTCTTTTTTAATTTTGGTCAGAAGTTTACTTATTTTTATCTGTCAATCGAAACTCATCTAAGACATGTTTTTTAAAATTTGTTTTCGGACAATGCAGGTTATTTTCGGCGGTGTCGGTGATTCCTCGGTGTCGGAAAATCCATTCACTCCAAAAGCCTCGTTGATTCGTTACTGGAACAAAGAGATCCGCAAAGAAATCTCCAAAACCCATTTCGTACTAGCCAAAGTATCCCCATTAACTGCAGTCGACTCGGCCGGTTTTTCCAAACTCGCTGCCCAAAACGACCTCGGTTCCCGTCTCCCTTCCTTTTGTTCCTCCGCTAAACTCTTTTGCTTCCCCGATTTATCGCCGAGTCTCGAGAAACACCCCAAAGACGTAAATTTCGCTGTCTACGCCAATAGGAACTTTACTAATTATGGCACGGATCAACTCGCCGGAGTCGACTCTTTCAAGAACTACTCAGAAGGCGACAACGTCATCGCCGACTCCTTTCGCCGGTACAGCCGAGATTCCGCAGGTCACGAGGACAAATTCTCCAATTACGCCAGCGAATCCAACGTCGTCGATCAGAGTTTCAACACCTACGGCGCCTCGGCTACAGGCGGTTCCGGAAACTTCAACAACTACAATCGTGAAGTGAACAACCCCAATCTTCGATTTACTTCATATTCCGATGACTCCAATGGTCGTGGGCAGACATTCACGCGCTACACGGAGAATGCCAACGCCGGGAACGGGCAGTCATTTTCGAGCTACGGTAAAAACGGAAACGGCGTTCCTAACGACTTTAGTAGTTATGGTAAAGGAGCCAATGTGGTTGGTTCAGGTTTTTCTGGTTACGGAGAGTCGGCCAACGGGGCTAATGACACTTTCACTTCATACGGATTCGATTCTAATGTTCCCCAGAATAATTTCAAGAATTATGGAGACGGAGGCAATGCGGCGGTTGACAGTTTCTCGAGTTACCGTGACCAATCCAATGTGGGTGACGATTCTTTCCAATCTTATGCAAAAAACTCTAATGGGGCGAAAGTTGATTTTAACAACTACGGCCAATCTTTTAACGAAGGAACGGATAAATTCACCGGTTATGGCCAAGGGGCCTCCGGTCAGTCCATTGGGTTCAAGATCTATGGAAGAAACACTACTTTTAAGGATTATACTAAAAAGGGTGTCACTTTCAGTAGATACAACAATGGGAGCTCCACTGAAACTGCTCAACTTCTGACCAGCGGCAGTGTTGTGAATAAATGGGTGGAACCGGGCAAATTCTTCCGGGAAAAGATGTTGAAGGTAGGAACCGTGATGCCAATGCCGGACATTAGGGATAAAATGCCTGAAAGGTCGTTTTTGCCCCGGACAATTGCATCTAAATTACCGTTTTCGTCCTCCAAGCTCGGTGAACTTAAACGGATATTCCACGCGGCAGATAACTCGTCGCTGGAAACCATAATGCTGGATGCTTTAAAAGAGTGCGAGCGTGCACCGAGCGCTGGCGAGACCAAGCGCTGCGTCGGCTCGGTCGAGGACATGATCGATTTCGCCACCTCGGTTCTGGGGCGAAATGTGGAGGTTCGCACGACGGAAAACGTTAACGGGTCAAAACAAAATATAAGGATTGGAACGGTTAGAGGAATCAACGGTGGGAAAGTGACGAAATCTGTTTCATGTCACCAGAGTTTGTACCCGTATTTACTTTACTATTGCCACTCGGTTCCACAGGTCCGGGTTTATGAAGCGGATATTCTGGATCCGAATTCGAGGCAGAAGATTAATCATGGTGTTGCCATCTGCCATTTGGACACATCTGCTTGGAGTTCAGGTCATGGAGCTTTCCTGGCTTTGGGTTCGGGTCCAGGTCGGATCGAGGTTTGCCACTGGATTTTCCAGAATGATATGACTTGGACGATAGCTGATTCCTGATTAGAAAAGTTTGGGGTTTTCTAATTTAAGCCTTTGGGAGGGTAAATTGCTAAATTTGGTTTAGAGTCATTGGTTAAGATAACTTAGCCAGTGGTGAAATTAAGAAATTTCTATTTGTTTTTATTTTTCTCTTTCAATTTAAGAAGTGCAATACACAAATATGAATAGTATTTTTTCTTCTCCCTTGGTGATGCTTAATTACCAATGACTAATTTTACATTAATATATTATTTTAAATAATCAAAATTTAAACTATATTTATTAAAATTAAAATTTTAATATTTTATTAATAGTTTATACGATTATAGTCACCTGGTTGTCGTTGTCCAAACTTCTTCATTTTTCTTTACTTATAAAAAGACAGTAAAGAAAAGTCATTTAAATTAATGCAAAAGTTTAACACAATAAATTAAAAAATTAATTTAATTGATTAATGTAATTATTTTATTAAAAATAATTTTTAATAAATTTATATTCAAATATCAACATTTATATATTTTTTAATTTTCATATTAAAAATAAAAAGAAAAGTTAACACAACATAAGGGTTATCCACCAAATGTGTCAAAATCTGTATTATTAGTAAGATAAGTTTCAAAAAGCAAAGAAGAAGATCTACGATTTTCTGTCACATCTCCCAAATCTCGCAACCCTTCAAGAGTTAGGAGTCAGAGGTCGCTTTAATTTTGCATTCAAATTTAAGCTTCAAGGTAATAGTCATCATATCAATGGAGCTAAAAATTAGAAAAGGAATAAAAGACACTGATTAGGCTCAGAGTCAGAGAAAGATAACGGTAACAATATGCCAACCTCTATATTTCTGTTGAAAAGAGAATGGTCAGCTAACATAGTATATGATTTCTTCGATCTTAGTTAAATTAATTATAATCTCAAAATACATAATAATTATGTACTTCACAAGTTAGTGGGACTCTATCTTGTCGTTTATCGAACTACAATTATTAAGACTTATCCAATATTTATGTAGGGTAGGAAGGATGACTCAAGCACCCCAATCGGCAAATCAATTCACAATTTGCACATAAACAAACCAACATGCTCAAAGCAAAAGAACGTGTATATGTACAGATTTGACCGATGGATAAAGGGTTGATTGCTAGTGAAATGTAGATTTGCACATTCTTTTAGTACAAAGGGGAACCAAAAGCTAATGGGAAAGGAGAATAAGGTTGAAGTTTGAATATCAGCTTTATGGAAATCTATGGTTTAAAAAAAAATAGTAAATCATTTAGATCAAACCCCAAATTTGTTTGCATGTTTTTGTTTATCTCCACAATGTCTTGTAAGAGGTAAACACGCATATCTAGCCTCAGGATTTTATAAGAAATTTTAACAAAAAATTGTGCTTTTTTAAAATTAAAGAAAAGAAAATACAGGGCAATTTCATGAGTCATGGCCCCTTTTTTTATTTGTTTCCTCGACTTAATTCTCATTTATCTCGATGCTCTATGGGTAAATTTTATGTCTCACCTTCCACAAGTTTTTGCATTTTTATAACATCAATGCAGGCCAATCTAGTAGCATGAACGAGAGAAGTCACTGCTATTTGAAGGCCAGAAAATTCATTTACACCCCGAGAGCCTACTTATAGTTGGTTTGGCTTCATGTCAAGAATTGACCAATATGACCGTTCATGTCTCTTAAAAAAAAAAAAGCCCTCCACTGTGCAAATTCAACTCAACCAGACTACTGGTTCAACCTCATTTCCCCGGCACATTTTCCGATTAGACCAATTTTTTTTCTTTTCAAGCTTTAGATTTACGTTTTATTTCAACAATATCATAGGTTATGCTCAAATTAAAGCAATTTTATGGATCCAAGTAACGAAAGCCAATAAATAATTAATCATGGTGTTGAAATTCGTAATTTCGATTACTTAAATCCCACTTGGATCCCCAGTCATACTAGTGCTTTTGCAACTTGGAGATCATGTTCATCTATAACCGGTGGAATTTTTTATTGATAGAAGTGTTCGACTTATCCCAACGAATATATATATATAAATATATATATAATATTAAAGTAAGAAAATTTGATGTTTAATTTAATTAACTCATTCAGTTATTTTTAAAAGATATTAAAAATTTTCAGCACATATATAACTTATTTTATTACTTTTAAATTACAATTTCTTATATAAAAAAGAAAAATTCGAATTTACTCTTCAAAAATATATGTATATATATATTTTTATTATTGAATCAAATATTTATTAAGTGCAATCTAACTAATATAAATTCTAATAATATGTATTATACTTAATAAATTATGTAATTATTTTTTATAGTCTAATTATAATTATTAGTCCTTTTGTTGAGAAATGTGTTGGAAAAAATTATGATTATACGGGGATTTTTATTTATTTATTTACTTGTATAAAGTTAACTGATAAGTAGCTTTTAAATCACATGGATGCATGCAGCCTCCGGTTTGTCAACTTTTGCAAGTCATAGTTCAGGCGAAAGTCCAAGAAAAGGTTAGGCATCATCAAGCATGAGATTTGATGATGAGCAAGTTTTGACAATACTGACATTTACCTAATGTTGTCTCTGCCGTCGTCAGTGCCAATGTTGGAGCTCTGCTCTGTTCGCCAACAGCATCATTTTTGGTTAAAATAAATTAAAAAAAAAATTCTAATTTCTTATGCATCCGAGATTGATGGATCTTCTATGGACCTCAAAAAGAAGTGTGAGTGTGGCTCCGAAATAGCAATGGGTTCATTGAATTGCTTTGCTTTTCTAACAAACCCTATTTTGAGTTGTTTTGAAGACGATTAATAGATTCAAAAGGAAACTTATTGAAAAGTTTTTACCTACTTACTATGCAAGAACATTTCAAAATAGCAAAACGAGTAATTTCGCAAGACATCACATTGATCAAACCACACAAAGCAGAAAGAGAATGTTAAAGCTAAGATCACCACCATCAAAATTTGTAAGCTATAGCCTACATGACAATAATTTGAGAGCAAATTTTTCTGATCTTATATCTTCTTAGCGTTATGACATTGAAACTGTGAAAGGCCTTTCTTGACACAGTGGCCTACAGCTATGCTGCTTGAAACCAATTCCCCAATAAACGGGAAATAAAGCCTCTGAATCTGGATTTCATCAAGTAAATTTGTTAAAATTTGGTTCATTGTAGGCAGGAAATGATTAGCTAAACATGCTTCTCCTGCAACAAAAGTATGAGCCATAATGGTCACAAAAATATCCTCATAAGCCTTTTATTATGGCTGTTAGCTGCCTATCCTATGCATTGATCAGTCAAATAGCTAGTGCTTCCTTTAGGGTGGGGAAGTTCCACAGGGTGAGGGCTATTGCAGGAACTTGCAAATGGTTGTTTAGGCTTATTGCATTAATAGGTTGCTTTTTCTGCAGAGAAATGGAGAGAGGTGGATAAAATTTTACTCTGTCGTATATTGGAAAGTTCCTTCATTTCTTTGAAATAAAACTAGGTTGTCTCTTTTTATAAGTTGCTTTGGTTGTCTTTTGTGCAGCTTTGGGACACGGGCCTGAACCAGCAGGGAAGCTAACTGGAATAGAAACTGGGGTTCTGCCACCCAATCGGACATGGACCACCACTCATGGCATTGGTTAGGAAGCGATGCAAGTCTCATTCATGCCATTAATTAGGTAGCTTGGAGGCCATTTAAAACAGCATCCAAAACCAATCATCACTCCTTTCCCACCATATAATATATATGCACAAGCCAGGCGGCCATGCCCCATTGTATTCAGAACTTGCCATTCACCGACTACTCTGTTGAATTATGAACATGACAAAATTTTTTCTTTTTTTTTTGTTTTTGAAAATCCTTAAAATGGATAGAAGCCTACATGGAATAAATACACCAACTCCTTTCTCTAGCTGTAATGTTATTCTCTAAAATTTAATACAGGGCCCCTTGGGATGGTGAAACATGCATAATACTCAGAATTTGTTAATTCTCAAAAATTCAACTTAATGACCGATGCGAAATTGTTGACATAGCTGAAAATTTTCGGCCTTCAATCAAGCACTCCTGCGTCATTTTTCTGAAAAATGTAGTTATTGCATTGTATAATACTCAGAACAGAGCTACAAAGATCTGAAACATTGGAGGTGGTGATGAAGCTACTAGTCTACTACTCTCTCCATAGAGTGATATGGAAGGGCAAAGAATATGGCACTTCTCTCCATAGAGTGATATGGAAGGGCAAAGAATATGGCACTTTTCACACTGATGTCCAGTTACCATATATATGAAGTCATGTTGACATTGCCTTGGTACTGCTATTCAAAGATTTAAGGACTGAAGAGGATTATGATTCATGACATTTCCTAGGCACAATAAGATTTTGATAACCCTTTCAGTAGATCTCATCTTAGCTTTTTTGTCTGCCTTGGAACGCTTGTATTTTTCCAGGAAATGTAGCTCAAAGGTGAAACCATGTGGTGGTAATTGCACATAGCTACCTACATCTTCACAAAACAACTCATCTGGTATTGTCGAAATCAAATTTTAGACATGGGGCCAAATTAAGAAAGCTGTTGAATAATAAGTGACATTTCCAGGTTCATGCTTTCCTGACCTGTCTTCATCCAGCATCGATCCAGCAGCCATATGAACCATGTAAAATAGTTACCTACATCTCAATCACATGTTCTTATCCTAATTATCATATGTGCACAGCTGATATAATTGCAGGCTCTATGATATTAATAGCCTGAATGAGGCGAAAGGTAGCCGATTAGGGCTGTCAGCATTACTTTGTTGTCGCGTTACAATTCCATTGTTCTTGAATCTTCATTTGGCAAATACCTCTGCTTGGTGGTTATAATCTTCATTGTGCTTATTGCTTATTTTTTATGGGGTGTTTGGTTAACGAAATTTTAAATTTTGAGAGAAAAAGTAATTTTCGAGAAGTATAGATTCTTGGCAATAAGGTATTCTTCTTGTTATATGAATATTAAATTTTTATATTTAGTTCGTGGAATTCATTTTACATAATTAAAGCTTTTTATTATAAT